CTTTGTCCAGACTTTCTCATTTGCCTACAGGGTCAAGGATTCCTGAGGGCTGCAGTAATGGTAAAGACTGAAGTAAAAAAGACATTCAGTAAGTCTGCCTTCTCCATATCCTTTGTCACCATCAGCAGTGGGTCCACGTTTGCTCTAGTCTTCCTTTTGCTACTGATGTACTTGAAGGAGACCCTCTTGTTGTCCTTTACATCCCTTGACAGATTTAATTCCAAATGAATCTTAGCCTCCCACATGCTGTGCCTGCACACTTTGAAAACATTCCTATATCCCTCCCAAGTGCCCTGTCTCTTTTTCCACATTCTGTAGACTCCCTCTTTCTGTTTTGCCAGAAGCTCCTTGCTCATCCATGCAGGTCTCCTGCTCCCTTTGCTTGATGTCTTACCCATGGGGATGCAACAACCGTAACCTCGGAGGAAGTGATGCTTGAACATTAACCAGTTCTCTTGGCTCTCACTACTGCTTAGAGCTCTAACGCAATGGGACTCCTCCAAGTAGGAATCATTACGTAACCGTGACCCGGCAAGTATCTTAAAATATCTTGTATTCACACAGCCTCACTTCACTCATATTTTGTAAGGACTCTATTTTTAAAGCACCTTCATTGCTTCACCAACACTGTAATGCAATAAACTAATGCAATGTACTGATGATTATAATTTTTACTCCATTAGCAGGAGCTGCATGTCCTCCTTCATGTTTAGAGAAAAATAGTGGGGTTTTTTTTAATGATACATCTGTGTTTCTGAGAAATTAGCCCATGACTTGCAATATCCCAGGTTAATTTAGCTTATTTCTCTAGAGAGAACTGTCAAAAATATTATTATACAAAAAGTAACTAAGACAGTGTAGTTGGTAAGGTGTAATTGGTCCTATGTGGACAAAAAAACAAAAAAACCCACCCCTCCCTAAAATATACTGTCCTGAGGGAAAGGTGTATATTTATCTGTCTTACTGCTTGGCTAATCTCACCTCTGGTATGTCAGTCTCATCCCACACAGTTCTGTCAAAAGTTAGCTTTCCACTCTGCATCCTGCTTGCCATCTTTTATTGGCTTCACTTCTGAATGAGTGAAAACCAGACACGACTGGAATAAATCCTGTTTGGACAAATCAGAAGGACTTATGTTGTTTGCTTGGATACTGTCAACTAAATGGCATCAATTTACACTTATCAGCTTTCATTATTCCCTTATTCTATGGAGGAAATGTAACATCCCCACTAACATCCATTCCTACCAGTTATGCTTCAGAACATGGGATCCAGAGCAAGGGAAGCAAAAGTGAAGCATTCCAGCACACACAAGCCCACTCCTTATGGCATAAGGAACTCAGCCAAGTACAAATGAAGGCTATTATGGAACGTATGGTCCTGTGTCCTGTACTTTCATATTCCACATTGGTCCACATTGACATTTTTCTGACCCTGACACAAGCCAAGCTACAGGGAGGTCCCCACAGAAAAAAAAAAAAAAGATGTATGAAGCCAGGAAACAGCTCTAAGTCAGCACAACTCCCTGATCCAGGACAGCACAGAAGCATATACACTTAAGCTCCACGAAAACACAGGGGCAACCCAGACCGGGTTGGGGCAGTCTTGCATTTTTTGGCAGCAAATTGGGCTGTCTGAGCCATAATACCAGAGTACCGTTTGTATCCTGAAATCCTAAACAAAAACTGAAAACAGTTTTAAATCCTAAATGCAGTGGTGCTGCTGTGTGGTTAAAACCTAAGTGAAAATCCACAGTGAGGTGCTGTAACTGCACCTCTGAGGGGGAGCAATGGACAGTGGAGGGCAAAGCTGCCCCTCTCCGCAGAGAACTCCAGACGAAGGCACCACAGCTGTTTGCAGGTTTCCCAAGCACACACTGACCACCCAGATGACTTAAGGGCAATGATGGCAAAGAGCCAGATTTGACCCTTATCAAATTTACAGATTTCCAGTCATTACATTTCAATTTGCTATTTTACTCAAGAAATCAAGTGCACTGTAAAGGGGGGAAAATAGGCTTTCCATATCCCTTTAAGAAAGAAAATCATTTTGTATACTGACAACAGCGAGGAACACTCAGCCTTCAATCCAGTGCAGAAAAAGTGCAAATATTATGCAGCAATCACTATTTTGCTCAAAACCAGGAATATCACCAATTATCTCAAACAGCAGCATTGTGGAGAGATCCAGACCATGGAAATAACCAAATAACTGGATCTTTCCTTGTAAATAAACTTTGTTTCTAAACAACACTGGCTTTCAACATTTTTTCTCCCTTGGAAACAGCAGCAACCAAAATCAAAAAGCAGATTTCCCCCGAAAACTTAACATACTTTATTGTACACGTGTGAATGTTTTCCCTTTATTAAAAAGATGTTATTTACAAAAATGTAAATTATTCGGTGTACCACACGCAGATGTCCAAATCCAAAGTAGATCCCTATTTCTTTGTTGACTGCTGTCATGTATCACTGAGAAGCACTTCCTACTGTATGCTACAGAAACAACATCTGACTGCAAATCATATGGCATGACACAAATCAAGCAGACTTCCCAAAAGTCCATAGGTGTTCTGTATTGACATTGAGTGAAGGAGAAAACATTCTTGGAAATAATTTTTTCTCTTGCTGCAGTAACTGTTTTTGTTAGCATTAAATCTATAGCATCAATTTTGAACAAACCAAGATGGGCGTTTCCTGGCTCTTTCAATGATCCGTTTGCCTTCATCTTTTTCTGAAGGCTTTTCTCCATCATAAAGGACAACAGTCTCTACAGTTGGAGCCTTAAATGGTCCTCCTTCCTTTTTGCGCATTTCCATCCGTATCAGATGAGTTTCTGCTTTGACCTTTGCATAGCAATAGCCACAAAGGATGTGTTTCTGTTTCAAGTTTCCACACTCAGGACAAACATCTATGTTCCTCTGAAACAACAGTGGAAAACAGGAAATTTTGTAATTTGAATAGCAGCAACAAAAGAACAAGGAGCAATCACAAACTACTAAAAAATTTAAATGAAATACCAGAGAAGTTCAATTACCATTTAAAAATCTATTCTTCTATATAATTTTTCTGTAATGTGTTGCTATGTCAAATGCTTACTACTAAAAACAGCCTGTGAAGTCAGTATCTAAGTCATTACGTTTATTGATAATGACTCAATGAGGTGCATAGAAAGCACAGAGCTTTTCCACTTACACTATCTGTTCAGCCAAAATTCACATTTTGTTGCCTTGCACCTAAAGTCTCACTGTTTATTTAATGACAGACTACTGTCACACATGATGAATGTACCTCTTCCAAAGGATTTTAAAGATTACAGTGTCTTTTATGCTTCTTTATTTATAAACAAAGTCCAGAAAGCTTTTTCAGTCAGCACTGACAACTGTGATGATTCTCTAAAACAAGTGAGGTGAAAAACGGCTGGTGTAAATATTACTTTGCCCTGTTTGCCACCAACAAAATTACTTATGGTGGATACAGTGGCAAGGCAGTGGAAACTTGGTGATTACCTTTACTTGTATAAGCTTGCTGGGATGCCTCCGCCGGCAGCGGTTCACCTCGATGGTGCGCCGTTTCTTGGGCACTGCCATCCACAGGATGCTCTCCAACAGACCCGGCACTTCGGCGCTACTTTCACTGGCGTCATCTGCTGCTTGTGGAAGAACAGCTGGAGCTTGCACAGCTAGTGCTGGTCCTGGAGTAGAAAGAAGAAGAGGGAGGGGATTGTCCTGCTCTGCTCTGCACTGGTGAAGCCTCACCTTGAACATTGTGTGCAGTTTTGTTCACCATAATATAGAAGAGATATTAAGCTCTTAGAGAGTGTCCAAAGGAGGGCAATGAAGATGGTGAAGGGCCTTGAAGGGAAGCTGTATGAGGAGCAGCTGAGGTCACTTGGTCTGTTCAGCCTGGAGGAGACTGAGGGGAGACCTCATTGCAGTATAACAACTTCATTGTGAGGGGAAGAGGAGGGGCAGGCATTGATCTCTTCTCTGTGGGGACCAGTGACAGGACCATAGGAATGGTCTGAAGTTGTGTCAGGAAAGGTTTAGGTTGGATCTCAGGAAAAGGTTCTTCACCCAGAGGGTGGCTGGGTGCTGTAACAGGCTCCCCAGGGCAGTGGTCACAGCACCAAGCCTGAGAGAGTTCAAGAAGTGTTTGGACAATACTCTCGGGCACATGGTGTGACTCTTGGGCTTGTCCTATGCAGGGCCAGGAGGTGGACTCGATGATCTTTGTGGGCCCCTTCCAACTCAGCATATGCTGTGATTCTGCGAAACACAAATTCCTGACAGCCAAGCCCCATTTTCGCTGGCGACCGCGGAAACACGACACGATGCTGCCGCCACTCCCGAAGGGGGCGGTCAGAGCGGCGGCCCCCGCCCCGCGCCCTCACGGATCCCAGGGCCGCGCCCCAGCCGTTCAAAGGTAAAACGAGTCCCGAAGCCCCGACGCCGCCCCCTCACAGAATCACAGAATTGTAGAGATGCAAGTGGCGTCTGGAGATCATCTAGTCCAGCCTCCCAGCCAAGGCAGAGTCACCTAGAGCAGGTGGCACAGGAACGCGTCCCGTTCCTTCAGCGGGCGGAGAACAGGGTGGGACTTACTCCAGAGCGGGCTCTGGCCCCCTAGGCCGCCCGGCAAGAGGCCGCGCTCAAGCCGCCCCCAGCAACGCTGGAAGAGAGCGCGAAGCCGCGGCAGCGGAGAGCGGACCAGCACCAGCACCGCCATGGCCTCGCCGAGCCCTCCGGGGAGGTGCGCCTGTCGCTGAGCCTCCTGGGAAACCGAGTGCCTGCCGCATGCCGCGGCATAACAGGGACACTGGACGGAAACTCCAAGTCCCAGCATTTTTCTCGCTACCGGGAGGGAGGGGCAGTGGAGGGCCTCTGGAGGACTCCAACTCCCAGCGCTCCTCACGGCGCGCCTCTCCGCCAACCGCATCTCGGCGGACTCAGTCACGCGCCGCCACCGCACCAATCAGCGTGCTCGCCGTGCCCTCGCGCAGGGAGCGGGAGCGGCGGCCGCGCGTGCGCCGAGGGAGCCGGCGCGGAGAGCGCAGGGGCTGGTGCCAAGATGGCGGAGCGCGGCTACAGCTTCTCCCTCACCACCTTCAGGTGCCGGCGTAGGGGTGGCTGCAGGCCCGGGGGCAGCGGCGGGTGGGCTGCCGGGCCAGCGGGAGGGCGGCACGCAGCTTGCACGGAACAGCTTGCCGGCGGCGGCGACGCAGGACCGAGGGGTCGCTTTGCAGAGTCATCGGGCCTGCGGGCGCTGGGGGACAGCGGGGGCCGGACCCGCACAGGGGCGGCGGGCGTGGGTAGAGCGGCGGGGATCGGGCAGTGCTGCCTTGGCCCGAGGGGAACATGCAGCTACAACAGACTCTTGCCGACCTGAAGGGCTGCTGGCGCCCCCGGGGGTGGAGGCGGGGGCTGCGGGAGAGTCCCGGCTCCCACCGGCTCTCTGTCGCTGACCTCGGGGACCGGTGCGGGCGCTGCTTGTGTCTGCTCTCGTTGTGGGCCAAGCTGAGATCTGTCTCGGCACTGGCCGTGCAGCGAGTGCTTGGTGAAACGGCTTAGCAGCGCCCCCTCTCCCCCCCCCCCCCCCCCCCCCTCTTTAGGCTGGAGAGTAATTCTGTGGTTCTGAGCTAACTAGAAATGCGTGATGACAGCTGACCTGTGGTATCTTGAGAGCTTGCTTCAGAACAGGCTTTGCAGATGCAGGAACGAATGAAGCAGATGAGTTATAAAGTAGTATATTTTCCTTTTTGCAGCACTCTGCAGTTGCTGCTTTCTGTGCACTTCGTGTTGTGCATAGCCTGGATGTGGGATTGTTGCATGCACAGAATAAATATGCAGCTGTTGGAGTAGTGTCTGTTGAGATGTTGCTCTAATACACAGACTTAAGATTAATTCAGAGAAAAGGAAATTACCTTCCATTCATTTTTTGATGAAACTATTAAGCTATCCAGGACTATGTTATACATATAAAAAAGAAAAACTGGCAAAAAAGCAAGAACCTTTATGCTGCTTGTGGTGAAGTTAGACCCCCTTAACCTTAGAGGAGAGTCATGCTGTGTAATTGCAGAGTGAGTTGCTAAAGGCTTGTTGCAGTTAAGCAAATGAAGCAGTTCATGACCTAAAATGATGAAAAGAATGTTCTTAATGGATGGAAGCAGCCCAGCATGCTTGCTGTGCTCTAGCAGGTTGAATTCTCTATTAGCTTTCAGAAATGGTTTCCTGGGGGAGTTACAAACTTCTTGTATTGTACAAAAGCACTATGTGCTCGGAACTCTTGTTCTGATTTTAGTATTTTGAAGTGGAGAAACCAGAATTATTACTTTGTCACCTTATAACCTGTTTCCTCAGTGTATAAATGAGTACAGTGATTGGTTATGGCTTGCTTTGTTCTTTCTGACTCATCTAAGCACCAAGTTACATAATCTTCTATTTTACTTCTGCAACTGTTAAAGCAGCGGTGTCTGAAATACAGCTCAGGGAGTAGATCCCACTTGCAAATCACTTGACAAGCGAGTGGCTGTCTCTGTGCTGTCCTTTTCCCTGGGGGTCAAGAATGGACCCCTTGATCCCACTCCTTATGAGTGAGTTACTATGCCAGCTTTAACTCCTTCAGCTCTGTTCTGATGATTCTGCATCCATTACCAGCACATGGATTGTTAAAAAGAAATTCAGGAATACCTGGAAATGGAACAGGGATTGTTTCTGTTTTGTGCTTATCTGTCAAAAAGCATAGCTGTGTTTTGCTGGTACCTTTCAGCAGAGAACATCAGTGTCTTGAAAACTTTTGGACACCACACATATAATGTATATCGTGAGTAGAAACCCATGACACGCTCTGAAGATTTTTCCCTCTGAGTGGAAAACTTTTTTAAAATGGTATAAAATTGGAAAATGGACTTGTCCTTCAACCTGCATCCCAGTCACTGCTCCCTATCTGTAACTCCTTAGCTTTCATGAGGGCTGTAGGCTGATGCTGTGTGAGTATCCCAGTAGCACTGTGCAGCAGTGACTTCTGTGCTGAACCAGTCCAGCTCTTTTAGAAGCTCTTACAAGTCTTCAGACCTGTGGGGTTTTACTGTTTTTTTTTTTAAATTCTGGTCAGAATATCTTGTTGCCGGATGTAAAGAGGCTTAAAAAAGCAAGTTGGTATCAGATTGTTGTAGGAAAGATTCGAGCGCATCGGAATTATGTTAATCTTTCTTTTGCATCTTCCTTTTTAGTCCTTCTGGAAAGCTTGTTCAGATTGAATATGCTTTGGCTGCAGTAGCTGCAGGAGCTCCATCAGTTGGGATTAAAGGTATGCCCTGAAAATAACTACTTCAGTGAAGGATTTGGGATTCTGACTATCCTTTAAGAGAATTAAATCAGTTTGGATTATGTACTGGGTCCTGTGTATTGGATCTTTCTTTATCTTACCTTCTGTTATATATTTTGTTACTCTTTCAGTGGATTTTCAAATGTTTTAATAGATTTAGTGTTTTCTGGGATTCTTTTCTGGGTGATTCTGTAGACATTCAGGTGGTAGAGATAGGTGTTTGGTTTGGGGTTTTTTTTGACTGTTCCTGTCCTTATATAGAGAAATTACACACAAAAAAAGTTACTTTGATTGCTCAATTATTAATATGTTATTCAGAATCTTTAGAATGGGACTGTGGGAGCTGTATGGTTATTTAAAATGAGAAACAATGGGTTGGGTGGATTCATCAAAGTATCTCTCTCTAACACGATTGTAAACTTGAAGACTTTTTTTAAAAATAGAGGAAGAAAATTTTTAGTCTGATAAACTTGTTCTGTGTTTCGACTGCTTTCCATAGTTTTAGTTTAATATTTAAAAACATTTCTTGTTCTTTTCCAGCTGCAAATGGAGTGGTGTTGGCAACTGAGAAGAAGCAGAAATCCATTCTGTATGATGAAAGGAGTGTCCACAAAGTAGAACCAATTACCAAACATATAGGTTTAGTGTACAGTGGAATGGGTCCAGATTACAGGTATGAAAACATCTTGTTTGATCACCACTTAGATCCATTTTCATACAAGAAGTGTAAGAAGCAGGTAGCAATTAGCTGTTTCTAAGTCTTTCTAAGTATATGTTGTAATACCATATTTTATTATAATAAAATGACATTTGCTTGAAATTTTCCTTAATATATCCGATACCTTGTCAAATAACGTTTTGTCTGAAGAATGGAAGTGGTGTTATTCAACCTTAGTTTCAGTTTAAGTGTTTCAGAGATTACTCAGTTGATAAAGGTAAGCCAGCACGTCTGTTTTCTTACATTAATGTTATGACAGAGGTACAACTCTGTAGCATTGTATTTATTATGAGTTTTCAGTTCTAGTTAGAATTTCTTTGACATAGTAATTTTGTCTTTGTTTTTAGAGTACTTGTGCACAGAGCTCGGAAGCTGGCCCAACAGTATTACTTGGTTTATCATGAGCCCATTCCAACAGCTCAGCTAGTACAGAGAATTGCTTCTGTGATGCAGGAATACACGCAATCTGGGTATGTGATGGAATTGCAAAGTTGCTTAGAAAGATGATTTTTAAAAGTAAGGAGTTACAGCTACCCAGTGATTCAAGTTTTTGTGTCAAAGACAGTTTTTCAGTGGAGAACATGCACAGAAAGTGGGCCAGTCGGAGGAGTGTGGACTGGCACTGACTGAGAATGAGTCTCCATATCTTGCAAACCAACACGTCAGACAAGGCAGCATTATTTGGGCTTGTTGTGGTGGTTGACTAGTCATTCCTCATCACAGCTACAGTCTGGTGGGAACCATTTAGGGGAAGGTTAACACATCCAAAATAATTTAGTCACCTTTGGCTTTCACTGAATAATTTATCATTTTGTTTTCCTGTAGTGGTGTTCGTCCTTTTGGTGTGTCACTGCTAATATGTGGCTGGAACGAAGGGCGGCCGTATTTATTTCAGTCGGATCCATCTGTAAGTATCTTACATTTGTAAATTCTGCTGCTTTTATAAAACATGAAATTTCACAGGTGCTTATGAAATACTTTCTGTGATGAGAACAATGCAGAGCTAGAACAAAAGATACCTTAACATAACTTCAGAAGTTAAAATGAGCCATTTCAGTAGGTGCTTGGAGCAAGTCTGGATCATTCTGGACGTACATGTTCCTGAACTGCTTGAGGGATGGGAGCTGCTTTTCAGGGAGATCACCAACCCTTTTCATGCCTTCCCTAGTTGATTGTGCCAGCAAAAATGGCCTTCTGCAACAGATAGCAGAAAAAAAAAGTCTGCTTATGCTGCTCAAAACCAAATGGAAGTTAAGTCAAAACCTGTTATATTGTGAAACATAATGCACATGCCTTTGTATTTAATGACAGTGGTTAAGTGAGTTTATTAGCTAGGTTTGCCCCGCACTTCTGAAAAACTACCCTTTGATGCACATGTGAGGTAGAGTGCTCCGGACAAAAAAAAACGAGGTCACTGTCATGATCATCATTGAGCTTCAGAAGTTTGAATTACTGCCTGATTCTCCAACGTAAAAAGCAAAATGCAGATGCCTTAAGGCAATTTGATTAAGGCATGGACCTGCTGATAGTCTTCATGTCAGAGAGAACAGAAGTGATGGCTGAATATCCTGTTAGTAGTTAACATAAATCAGATAGCTGATTTGCAACAAGTTTTTTATACTACCTAATCTTCAAAAAGAAGAGTAGAGGGAACCTCATTAAGGATCTGACTGTGTACTTTTTCAAAGGCAAACATACTGTTTCTGTTTAAGGAATCCCAAATCAAAGCTATGCTAACAACTTACTAGTTCATCTTTCAAAGTAGTGGGAGAATGAAAATAGGTGGGGCCCCATACAAACATTCTGTACATTTTCACAGCATATGTTCCTGTATCAAATTATTCTGAATGTGATCCAAAATTATCTCCCATAGTCTCAGAACATTCAGTATTTTCGTAATTGTTGCTGTACTTTTTTCCCAAGTAATTGAATACATAGTGTTTGACTAAGTCACGCAAAACAGTTCAATAGATTGTTGCTTTTACAGGGAGCTTACTTTGCATGGAAAGCAACAGCAATGGGGAAAAATTATGTCAATGGGAAAACATTCCTTGAGAAAAGGTAATGTATTTGATACTTGTCTGAAAGGATACTGTGTTTTGTTCAGATTCCACGTAAAACAATCAGATTTAAAAAAATGCACACTTTTTAGATTATCAGAATAAAGTTTTAAAATACTTAACATGTGATGCTTCTGGTTTACTTACTTACATATGCACAGGAAATTTGATTTATTTAAATTCCAACTTTTGTGTTTATGGAGAATTGTATGAGTGCAATAAACATTATATTCAACATAATTTGCAGCAATATTGTTATATACAGTGTCAGTATGAAAAGTACTGATTCTTATTTTGACAGATAATAACTTTGACTCATAATGTTACAGTGCTTACAAATAATATTTGTATGAGAAAGATTTTAATAATGTTTGGGTTTTTAGAGACTTCGGGATTAGTAAAATTTGGAAAGGGCTTTGTCCCTTGCTGAAATACATAAATGTCTGTTTACAGATACAATGAAGATTTGGAGCTCGAAGATGCCATTCATACAGCTATTTTAACACTAAAGGTGAGCAAAATATTTAAGAAAGAAGTTTCTTATGTTATGACTTCATTGATATGATGCACTGAACTGTATTTTCTTTAACAGGAGAGCTTTGAAGGACAAATGACAGAAGACAACATTGAAGTTGGCATCTGTAATGAAGCTGGTTTTAGGAGGCTCACTCCAACTGAGGTTAAAGACTACTTGGCTGCAATAGCCTAGTAGAAACCAAGCAAGACTGTGTGGTTCACACAAAGGTCTTTTTAATTTTGGCTACTTAAATGTTTTTCTTTGCAGTTTTTGCATACTTATTTCTACATGGTTTGTCTGAGAGATTTTTTAAACATCATGGGTGCAAATACAACGGTCCTTAATATTGTAATACATGAAATCTTGTTAAAGATAATTCTTTCCCTTGATACACAAAATACTGTACAAAATGTAAAGTTATAGTGACAGCTTGAAAAAGGCTAAAGAATAAAATCGAAGGCCACTGTTTTGGGGGAAAGTGTCTGTGTGTCTTTTTAATCCTAGCTTGTTTATCTGCATAAAGCTTAGATTTCAGCATCTTTATTTTTGAGGAAACAGTTTTTCCCATACAGCCATGATGGATTCATGTTAGACCTTTTAAAGAATTTAAATGTTGAGCGGACAGGATAATTTTTCACTTTGGAATATTGTTTAAATGTTAAGTAATTTCCAGAAATGGTTTTATCTGGTGTAAAAGATCATGTACTTTCACAAAGAGACAGAACAGTCTTCCATTTCAGGGATGAACTGCAATCTATTTGAGCCTCTCTGCTTTTGCCTTCTTGGTCTTTGTGTCACAAGAACTTGTTTTCCATTACTTGAGTTATTTTCGCGGCCCTAGAAATTGCACTTTTTCAACCCTGAAATATTGTTAGAAAAAGTAGAAGTAATAACTCTTGCTGAAAACTAAATGCATTTATCACCATAATAAAAATCAACGGGAGTTACAAAACAGAATGAGAGTATGTAATGTCATGACTTCATCCCTTGAATTGTCCTCAAATATTTTTCAACTTCCAAGATAACTCTAAAGACAGGTGCAGAACTTGGATATTATTTGTGGGGGGTGTATGTATCAATGCATTTGTTACATGTGTAGAGTTGGTCAGGTCATAAAGAAACACAGAATTTACTGCAAAAGAAACAGGATAAATATATGGTGGGGGGTTCAGCAGTAATAATCTGGTCTGCAGCCCTTTAAGTTACTGTTTGCAGATTTTATATTTTTTTAAAGCAATCTCATTGTTAAAATGTTGATAATGAACTCAGAGTGACAGCCGCATCCCTCTGCTTATGTGTAAGTCTAAGGACGGAGGGGAGCTGCCTGGCAGGTTACATGTCATCCAGCCATAACTGATGAAGAAAATACAAAGTATCACTTAGTCTGCAGAAAGTAATGTATAACCTAATTGACCTGTGTTTCCAGTGTCTGTCTTCTGATGGTTCATGTTATCATCAGGTAAATAAGAGTTTCTGAAGCATGCCATAAATGAAGTTTTATTTCCTAATGTCAGAAATAAAAGCTCTGTCCAAACAGTTCCTCCAGATCACTTTTTGAGTATTTGGCTCTGAAAATCAGTCCATACTCTGATCCTTATTCTAGAAAAAATTAAACAACTCGGAACTGAAACTGAAGACTTGATATTGCTGCATCTTCAATTTAAAATATTTATACATATTCAGTGTTTTAATGGTATATAAATATTCAAAAGGGTTTTCTATATGAAAAAATGTGGGTAAGTACTTCAGAAAATGGTTAGCCTGAACTGCAGTAGTTTAATTGTCTCTGCTACTAGAAACAGTTGATTAGCAAAGAACACCCTATGAAGGGTAGTTGTAACCAAAGCAAGTTTCAAATAAATCATGCTTTCTCACTGCCAAGATGGCAACAGTGGGAGAAACAAACAAAAATCTCTTGAGGTTTGGGGACTGTGGTTTTGGTTTTTAAAAAATTGAGCACCTGCCATCTGGAGAATGTTACTAATTTACAAGTGGCAAAGGGAAGGGAAAAAAACAGTATCATCCATAGTTTCCTGTGGTTTAATAATTTAAATGTAGTAACTGTTCTGTGCATTTTACGGAAGCTATTGTGTTCTAAATTAGGAAAATACTGTCTGTGAGATACCTGATAATAGGTATAAGTGTTGAGGGGATGCTTCCCCACTCCCCCCCATCCTGCCAGGACAGGCAATCATTACCGCACGGGGCAATTTTAACACTTCAGTACTTCAGAAGTGTTGGTGAGTTTACTTCATGTTGGACCAATGTTGCAAATGGGTGGTAGTGTGAAGCCCCTACGTTTTTGTCAGATACTCCGAATGACCACCTCTAGTTGCCAGGTTGCTTCAGTGAGTGCTTTTTAGGAATATAAACTGTTTGAATTGGTAAAATAATGTGGCACATTTTTCTTCTGAGAACAAATAGAAGTGTGCCTTGAAAAACATGAGAATACTATCACTAGGCTCCTCTTACAACAAAAAGCTTCAAAACGGTGAGCAGTTGTAACTTTCCTCTGAGAGTACTTTTCCCTTTAGAGTGCTTTCCTCAGGCTGTCTCTCTGCGATATGACAAATACTCTGTGAGAAATGACAAATTGCAGGTGAGATTATTTCAGCTGGCCATGAAGTGTGACTATGCTTCGTTTAGCTTGTTCCTAATCTGAAAGAAGAAGAGACAGCAATCACTTAAAGCAGGTGATGTTGATTTGTTTGTCCTGCAAGATGGTCTGCTCCAAGGTAGAGCAGTGTGACACCTATGAGAATTGAGATTTATTAACTAGTAGGATCGGGCTCTGAGAAGAGTATTATCATTTCATGAAGTTATTACTTTAAGTCACAGAATCACAGGATGGGTCAGGTTGGAAGGGACCACAGTGGGTCATCCAGTCCAACCTCCCTTGCTCAAGCAGGGTCATCCTAGAGCACATCGCACAGGATTGTGTCCAGACAGTTCCCCAGTATCTCCAGTGAGGAAGAGTGCGCAGCCCCTCTTTTACAGTGCACGGTCACTCACACAGTAAAGAAAATACAGGTGCAGTAAGCCCCTTACAACTTTCTTTTTCTTACTATTGCTTTCCAGATCTTGTGAAATCATTTATGCACTTACTCCCTGCAGGAACCAGCGATCAGAAGGCAAGTCTTTCCCATGCAGGTAGTTAATATTGCTGCATGGAGAGAGGCAAGACCATGGCTATGTCTGCTGCACGAAGGCAGGCAGCAACTTGGGGCAAGCATGGGGGACACTTGCTCACATTTAGCACAGAATCGTTTTGTATGGGCTAGTTTTGTTGTCCAAGCTTCACGGATCCAATGAGCATGGGTCCAGTGTGCACAGAGCCATGGCTGCTGTTTCTCTGCTGAAGTTGGAAGTCCAAGGCTAACTTGTTTCTGGCCTCTCTTTTCCCACTCTACTCTGCACTGGTGAAGCCTCACCTTGAATATTGTGTGCAGTTTTGTTCACCACAGTATAAGAAAGATATTAAGCTGTTAGCATCCAAAGGACAGCAGCTTCCCCCCTTCCTTGAGGGGAAGCTGTATGAGGAGCAGCTGAGGTCACTTGGTCTGTTCAGCCTGGAGGAGACTGAGGGGAGACCTCATTGCAGTTTAACAACTTCATTGTGAGGGGAAGTGGAGGGGGAGGCATTGATCTCTTCTCTGTGGGGACCAGTGACAGGACCATGGGAACGGCCTGAAGTTGTGTCAGGAGAGGTTTAGGTTAGATAGTAGGGAAAAATTCTTCACCCAGAGAGTGGTTGGGCACTGGAACAGGCTCTCCAGGGCAGTGGTCACAGCACCAAGCCTGACAGAGTTCAAGAAGTGTTTGGATGACACTCTCGGGCACATGGTGTGACTCTTGGGGATGGTCCTCTGCAGGACCAGGAGTTGGACTCGATGATCCTTGTTGGTCCCTTCCAACTCAGCATATTCTGTGACTCAGTGACTGCGTCTGACCTCACGTATTGCCCTTGGCCCTTACAGGGTTTTCTGGACAATCCGCGGGCACCTTGGTGAGCATGGTTAGGCCGGGCGGGCCGGGCCCGGCGGAGCGAGGCGGGTGGTGCCGTGTCCCCGCCCGGCGGCCCCGGGGGAGGTGCCGGCCGGGCCGAGCAGCCACACGCCACGCCGGCTCGGGGCGTGGGCTGTAGCCGCTGGGCTGTGAGTACGGGCTGCGGGGCCCGGGGAAAGGCGGCAGACACGGGGGAGGGAGCGAGGCTGGGAGCGCCCGGAGAAGCGAGGCTGGCCCGGGCACATCGTGCCCCGGCAGTGACTGGGGGACGAGGGCGACAGTGGGGACAAGGGCCGGCGTCCCGCGGCGTCCCGCCGCCGGCCCTGCCGGGGCCAGGGTGTGGGCAGAGGGCGAGGCCAGAGGGAGCCGAGGCCGCCGGGCCGGGGGCGAGCGCTTTCGGGCGCTCTGCCCTCACCGAAGATGGCGCCGCGGCCTCCCCGCTGCTGCGGCCACGTGATGGCGGAGCGGGGGCGGGGAGGGGCGGCCGGTCCTGCCGGTCTCCGCCCGGGAAAGGTCGGGCCCTGAGGCGAAAGAAGGGGGCAAAGCGGAGCCTGCCTGTGAACTTGTGGTTCGTAATGGGGCCACTGTGCAGTTGTTGTGCTGAAAAAGTATTTGGGTTTGTGGGTTTACTCTCACTGCAACCCTTGATGTTCACTCTAAGTCTCAGTGTGCCTGGAGTGGGAGTTGTAGCTGCTGTGGGGAAAGGTGCCCAAGTGCTAACCGTGGTATATGCTGTTGGAAAGACCTCTTTTCACTATCTTTATTCTTGGCCATGCAATAACAATCTTCTCTTTACTCTCACTTGATAGGAATAATGTTTCCAACATGTCTGTGCAGTCACTGCTTTGTGAAAGAATTGCTGTTGCCAAAGATTTGATCAAGAGAGCGGAAGCCCTTTCCAAGTCCCAGAAAAGGAGAATAGAAGGTGGGGCAAAACTATGTAGCAAACTGAAGGCTGAGCTAAACTTCTTACACAAGGTGGAGGCAGGGAAAGTGGCCATTAAAGAGTCCCATCTGCAGAGTACAAACCTTACCCATCTCCAAGCCATTATTCAGTCAGTAGAGAATCTGGAGGATGTTGTCAGTGTCCTCCATGTCTTTGCTTATGAGGACAGGTTTGGAGACAAACAGACCCTGGTGGTAGATGTTGTTGCAAACGGAGGTCACACATGGGTGAAGGCCATCGGTCGGAAAGCTGAGGCCCTGCATAACATCTGGCTGGGGAGAGGTCAGTATGGTGACAAAAGTGTCATTGAGCAGGCAGAGGACTTCCTGCAAGCAAGCCGTCAGCAGCCAGTGGAGTACAGCAATCCCCACATCATCTTTGCGTTCTACAACAGCGTGTCCAGTCCTATGGCAGAGAGACTCAAGGAGATGGGAATATCTGTGAGAGGAGATGTTGTTGCTGTGAACTCACTGGTGGAGCCATCTGCAGACAACGAGCACCCTAGTGCCAGTGAATCAGATGAAGAAGGCCCTGAACTCCTGCAGGTGACCAGAGTGGACCGGGAGAATTTAGTGGCCAGCATTGCTTTTCCTACTCAGATCAAAGTAAATGTCTGCAATAGGGTTAACTTGGACATCACTACCTTAATAACTTATGTCTCTGCTCTGAGCTATGGAGGCTGCTACTTTGTCTTCAAAGAAAAAGTTCTGACAGAGCAAGCAGCCCAAGAAAGGAGGGAGAGAGTGCTGCCTCAGCTGGAGGAGTTCATGGAGGGAAAAGAGCTCTTTGCCTGCGAATCTGCTGTCAGAGATTTTCAGTCCATCTTGGAAACGCTGGGAGGACCTGGGGAGAAAGAGCGAGCTGCATTGCTTGTTAAAAGGATTACCGTGGTGCCAGATCAGCCATCTGAGCGTGCCTTAGGACTAGTGGCTAGTTCAAAAATCAACAGCCGTTCTCTAGCCATTTTTGGGACAGGAGACACTTTGAAAGCTGTCACCATGACCGC